AAAAAATAATCGATAACAAGATAAGATACGCACTTAAGTTTCGCAATCGAAAGCATCTTCCTGTGCGTGTGACAAAAAATATCTTGGAATCGGAAGGTGATCAGGATGAAAATAGCAAATTGTGGTTTTCTGAAAACCATGTGCCATTGTACATGTTGCGAGAATTTGAGCAGCACACCTCCCTGCCTACCCCAGGAATTTCGGACTCTAAATGTTTTACCAATTTATACCCAAGGCGAGTAAAAGCATCTGCTGAAGATGTCTTTTCTTATCTTTTTCACAAAGGAGAAGTCTATCCCTGCACCTCATGCAAGAAGGATGTTATCTACAGGTTTTTCTACTTCGCCTCTTTGTTATGATAATAAACTGATTATACATTTATTATTTTTGAGATGCTGACCTTTTGTATTTTGGTTGATCACATGCAGGGATATTGTTAAATGCAGCACTTGTCAAGGTATGGATCTATGTCGTGCTCTTTAGATTATTTGTTTTCAAAATTTGTCCTTGTAATATTCAAGAAGACAATTGACCGATTTCTGATATTTCGAATACTTAGTCACATTGTTGCTATCTAAAAATAACTTTCAGGTAATTGTCATAAAGAGTGTACATCAAATTCTGTTGTTAACAAAGGAAGCAGTGCTACTTCCAGTTTGATATGCAAGTTATGCCTCCAGAAGCGGAATCTTATGCTTACTAGTTACAATACAAATCCAAGTTATTTCCGGCCTCAACAGAAGAGTAATGGCCAACAACCAGTGACTGCTCCCAGAATTGTGTTTAAGGTTAGTTCTTCCCATTCCGGTGAACCTACCCCCAAAGTGGAAGCCCAGCTAGTTGCAAAGGTTAAAGCACAGCCATTTGCGAAGGTGGAAGCTCAGCCAACTATGAATGTGAAAACCCAGCCAGTTGTGAACGTGAAAACACAGCCATTTGCGAAGGTGGAAGCTCAGCCAATTATGAATGAGAAAGCCCACCCACTCGCAAAGGTGGAAGCCCAGCCACTCGCAAAGGTGGCAACTCAGAGTATCACTAGTGTCCAAGCTCTGCCAAAGACAAAAGCTAAAAAGTCAAAGTCAGAAAAAGAAAAGAAACCTAAAAAAGTTCAAGCGATCACATATTTTGGTCTCGTATGGAAGAAAAATAAGAGCGACAAGGATGATGGAAGTGAGTTCAGGGCAAATGATGTAATCCTTAAAAGCAAGGATAACATAGGTTCATCAATAAGACCAACATGTTGTCTCTGTGACAAAGCTTATTCTCCAGATTTGTTGTATGTACGCTGTGAGAAGTGCAGAAGTAAGTTTAGCATTTCTGTAGCTTAGAGCATTATCCTTTTTGTATTATCTTTCAGTTTTTTTTTTCCTAACATCTCGGTATTCCCTGCATACAGATTGGTTTCATGGTGATGCCTTGCAACTTGATGAAGAAAGGATTGGTGAGTTGGTTGCATACCGGTGCTGTAGGTGCCGAATGAGAGCCATACCGCATTGTCCTCATTCTGATGGTTGTACAAAGCCTGAACCAGAATTAAGTGAGCAAACAGTTGCTACATCATCTCAGTCAACTATGCTATCTAGTGAGGAGACTTTTGCTTTAGCAGATCAGGACCCACTGCTTGCTTCTTATGGGATAGTTGAACCAATTGGGGATGATACAATGGACATTGATTTGTCAATGAACATGTCAAGCTTTGGCCCTGGAAGTAACCAGAAGCTGTCTATAAGAAGAGCACAAGCAAAAAGTACTGAATACCTTGATCAAGCTGGTAGACCTGTGAATGAGTATAATATCCAGAATCATCCTCCAGGGAATGGAAACATCAATTTCAGCCATACGAATGGAATTTCATTTTCAGAGGCTGACAGCGTTGATGCTTCAGAGCTATTGGGGTGGGATTTTTCACAAGGAGTTGCATATGCTACACCTCCTGATTTCACTGCTAATCACCAGTCGAATGACACTAGCTGTGGCAGCTTTGGGATGGACGAATATGAGCCCCAGACTTATTTCTCGTTCACCGAGCTACTTGAAGCTGATGATACGCAGCTTGACAATGCCTTTGGGATGTCTGCTGGTCTGCAAGGTGATGGCAATGGCACAGGAAGCTTTGTTCAACAAGGAGTTGGTTTTGATGAATTGTCTTTCATGGTAGAAGATGGAGCTTCAAATATGAACTTCCCAACAAATGACCCCACCCCTGATGAGGTAGCATGCAACAAATGCATGAATACTCAACCACCACCTGATCTCAAATGTGCTGTCTGTGACCTGCACATACACAGGCAGTGCTCACCGTGGGACCAAGGTGAAGAGCCTGTTGACAGCAGCAACTGGAGTTGTGGTGGTTGCCGGGAGTGGCGATGATTAACTTTTGAACTTCATTGCATCTGTTAATAGTGGCAGCTGCCAGCTGTTATCACAAGGTAAACATACCGACATTCCATACCAGATTTCTGTTGAACTACAATTTGTGGCTATAGTTCCTGAGCAAGCTTTCTTTTTAGGTGGAAGGTACCTCGCGAAGTGCGACATAATCTGTATGAAAAATTTCCACCAAGCTGTTATGCAGTGCTACTGTTTGTTCGGATGCTGTGGGGTTGGTTATTTGACCAAAGTTTAACCATCATACAGTTAGCGTAGCAATGACTGCTGCAAGTTTTACACTGTACATACTAAAGGATGGGTCAGCAAAGACCTTTTGTCATTCTTTAGGCTGTTTTTTGGGGGGGGGGACAAGATGTATGGTTCTGAAAACCATATTCATGTAACCGTATTACCTTGGATTCTCTTGCTATCTTTCAGATAGAAGTATCTCTTGTTCAGAGGCCATGTCCACGCATCTGCAGCTTTGCTCTATATATTTGCCCTTGCCGCTTGGCACATACGGTACACTGGTGCGAGCGTGTGGAAATGCAGCACTTGTGCTGAACCTTTAATGCTTTGAGAAATTTGAATTGTAAAGCTGACGTGGGTGTTTCGTTTTGATGTATTTATGTTTTTTCCACGTTTCGTGTAGAGTCAACACGGGCTTATACCTGGCCCAAAACGGTCCGATCTGTCATTTCCTCAACCATTTCTGGCAGCGCCCGCTTCATCACGGTCCGGGCTGTATTTCGGAAAATAAGCGGCCCAGCTCTTCTCTTCTTCACTTGCTCCGCGCCGGCGCTCAGCAGCCTCCGCCACGGCGATCTCTCCTCCATCTGCGGCGGCGATGGCGCTCTCCTCCTCCCGGGCGCACCACCTCCTGCGCTCCCTCCACAGTTTCCACGTCTCCGTCCGTGCAGGCCCTGGCGAGGGTGGAGCCGCACGAGTTCTCTAATTAAGCCCAGCGGGCAGCGGCTGCCTGGGCACCTGGGAGCCCGCGGCCGCGGGGGAGCCCCGTGGGCGCGGCTGGAGCGGCTGCGCAACGTGTATGAGCGCAACGCGGGACAGCTTCGGCGGCAGTACGCCTACGGGGTGCAGTTGATGGAGGCCGAGCGGCAGCGGAAGGCCGAGGCGCGTGCCGGCGTCGCCAACGAGGAGCGCAAGGCCGCCAAAGCCGCCGCCACGGAGATGCGTGCGTTCGAGGAGGACTTCCGTCACACTTCGCCTTCCCTGTCGCGCTCATCGTTCTCCAGGCATCTTTTCATGAACGTGCCTGTTTCAGCCTCTAGACAGTAGGCACCATTGACTTTTTCTATCTCCTCTCTCCTTCTCCCATAGAAGCCAATATCCTTCTTTCGCTTTCATTGGTTTTGTAAGAGAAGGAGATTGGCTTCCCATCCTCGCACTGGCTATACGAGAGAGGCGAGAGAAAAAGAGCTCATACGAAAGATGCATGAACAGTGAATACTTTAGAGAAGCTGGAGCCAGTGGGAGGTGTAACAAACGTGGCCTTATATGGCAAAATATGTTATAACCGGGATGAGATAACAAGTAGATGAAAGAAATAGCTGGGAAGCTGGAGAGCTGGCGGCAAAAGGAGAAGCTCAATGAGCAGAAGAAGGGGGAGCGCAAGGAGCTCCTGCGCAAGAATAGCAGCATGTGGTTTGAAGTTTGATGGAGATAAAATTGAAAATCAAATACTTGAAGCTATCAAAAATACCACTCCTCTATAAGGCTGATTCTATGAGGTGTGTTGCACTCTTTTTAATTTGTTGCTGTGTTGTTGCAATCTTTTCTCAACCCCTCTAATCTTTTTGGAATAAAAAACTATACAACCTATTCAAATGAATAACTTTGTCTTAAGGAGGAAATCCAATCCCTCAAATTAATAGCTAAGCTCTCTAAGGTGAAATTTGACATGACTAGCACCCACAAAGGTGAACCCTTTCGAGTGCTCTTCTGTTATTTAGTTTTGGGTCACTTTGTTATTGAAGAAATAGGAAGAATGTAATGAGAATGTAAATACCTAAGTCCCCTATTATGTAGGAAAGTAATATTTAAGTACAAGTGCTACACTATATTTAAGTAAGATGTCTCTAAAGTCGGACCTCTTTGGACAAACAGGAATCAAACCAAATAAGTAATGTAGTTTTCTAAATTGATGCACATACATTGCACTTCTTTTTGTTATTTAGTATTGTAACTTTTTATCTTACAAAATTATGCTTAGAACTACATTGAATATCTTCTTTCATTATACCAAATGTTAAATTATAGTTCACAAGCATGATTTGGAAACTAATAAAGTCCATCTAGCTTTCTATGAAAATAATGCTCCTCTCCAGCACAATTGCAGAAATAAAGATAAGCATATTTTGAGGAATTAAATAGGAGCAATACAATTTGTATTTTAGGTGTGCCACATAATACATTCCGTTCTGGATCTGTTGCATGTTACTCAACTGCTTGTTACAAACACAAACTAATAATTAGCATTGTAGCACATATGTAACGTACACAAGATTAACCTCTAGTATTGGAGCAAATAGAAACATAGTTTTTGTAAATACATGTGCAGAAATTCATGCTACACTATGCAAACATTATTTTGCTTTCGATTATTTACTGATTTATCTCCTTTGGAAATTTAGTTTTGAAATGTTGTAACCGAATAGAGTGGCAAAGAAGATGGGGAAGGCCGCCAGAACTACAGCTGTTAGGGGTAGCAATTCACGTCGGAAACCAAAGTAGTCTCTAAGAAATGTTGTGACAGATTTGGTCTCCCCAAATACTTCAATCTTCTTGTGGTCCTCATACCCAAACTGGGTGGTGAAGAGTACATTGAGTGTCCATGACATGGGGGACATGTAGTACAACCATAGCCACCATTTTGGTATTTGCTGCAACAAATGCACCAACAAGCTAGTATAAATTACCCAACATCAATACAAACTTAGTAGTATATGTACATAAATACTTTCCTTCAGTCTATTGTTCATCTAATTTCTAAGCTAATGCATACATGTAGCTTTACTAAATCCTTGACTGAAGGTGACATGAAACCAATAAATTATGTGCAATAGAAAGTGGAAAATTTGCCACTATTGCCCTTGGAGGCAAACCCAATGATACAATGGATGACAAATTTGCAAACATTGACAAATGGAATAGAGAAAACTATGCCAGTAAATGGGTGGAAGGACTTACTGGAGCAGGCACAATGTAGCCAGCCATGAGATCTTATATGTTGTAGAATAGAGATGTTAATATGGACGCCACTTGTATGTTTGGGGTGAGTGACACCATCATCATTCCAAGATAGACGTAGTAGAGCAGTGTACAAAACATGGTATACAGTAACCAGAAGAACTTTGTTGCTTCCCATGCGTAACCTATCATTGGGTAAGCTATCAACACGAACAACACTGTTTGCATAACCACATAAGGAATCTCCATAGCGACCTACTTGGGGAAAATATAAACTGAAGTTAAAGTCTTCAAATATTAATAAATGCTAACTCCATTTCTAAACATTATTGCCACGAGCTCCAAAACTAGATAATTAATAAGCCTCCTTATGTAAGTGGTTTGTATCGAGTCTATTTACCTGTGCAAAGGAGTAAGCCCAAGGAGAGTACATTCCTGCAAACCTTTCTCTGTACATGACAGATCGCTCAATGGAGATGAATGGCATAACCGATTGGCAGTTGTTGATGCCAGCAAATAGAGTGGTAGCAAACATGCATCCCAATATATTGAATAGGCCTTGTTGGTCATTTCTACACACACAAAAGTATTAACAAACCATAAATTAAGAAAATATAATTAAGAGATATGGGGTGTCATATTGCTCAAAGTGATGGTTTACATACATGCGGTTTATGTTTCCTTGCTGCCAGTATAATGCCCCGAAGGTAATGCTGGTGGCTGTTATGAACACAATCCTCACCAAGTTGTAGGAAGGGGTTCTCCAATATGATAAATATTGCTTCCAAATGCAAGCTTTGAACTGCTCCCAAAACTTTTGTGGATACCATGTTGGGAAATGGAGGTTGCTTGTACCCAAAGGTGGTATGCTCAAGCGTCTTATGAGTTCATCTTTATCCCTTCAATCCCCAATAGATTATTATTAGTACAAATCCTATGCAAAATTTAATTCCTAATGAATAAGAGAGGACTCATACAAAAATAGTTCCTTCCTAATAAAATTGCTTTTGTGATCCATGAATTTTATTTTGTTAAGTATTGTGGATGCACAATGCCTCTAAACTTGTTTTGCATATTGTATTTTATAATGATATTATTAAAATGTTTGTTAGTGACACATGCATGGTTTTTAACTAATTGTGATGTTTTTTCAAATTAAAGCTCACTTATACATTGACGAGTCCCTGTAAACTTGTGCAAAATCGACTCCTAGTTGAGCTTCCAAAGATGTTGATGTAACTTCCAGCATCCATGTTGATGGGTTGTAGTTGTCCTTGATCTTGGGTACCCCAGGTATTGCCTAGAAAGAAATAGAGGGAATACTTCCACAAGTATGTTAGCCTAGGGAACACATTCTACTCAATGATAAATATAGGCCATTGTCATCTTTAACTAAAATTGAATGTAGGTTTACAATGAGTAGATTATACTGGTGATTCTTGAACTAGGCACAATGCCACTAGATCAATCAGGACAAGTGTGAGAGTAGTTGTTGACCAGATAGTTTTGGACCCTAGGTGAACCACTTAAAAAGCTTAGGGGGGTTGAAACCACAATTCAAAGTTTAGGGATGTAGCTAGTTTGTGTACTTTACTCTTTATGTCTCTCATGAATATAGAAAGTCTATTCCATGTGTTATGTACAATGGAAATCATGAGGACTCTATAAGTAAAAAACACATGTCAATGTATTTGAAAATATTCAAAATAAATGGAGATCATTTTGAAGCCTATTTTGCATGCGATGTAAAATGACTTACATTAATTTAAGTCATAATATTTCCCAAAAAAATTTAAGTCATAATATAAACTATACATGTATACACACAAATTGAGCTTTCTTTTAGTTACCTGGAAATATTGGAGGAGCGTACACGAACGGTGACCAAGCGGCCCAGCATAGATCAATTGTCCACCCCTTTTCATCAGCATTAGCTAAATATGAATTTTACAGGCTAATTAGCAATACATGACATGATTTAAAAAGAAACCATATGAATAAATTAGATTAAATAACTATTTTTCTTTGGAAATAACAAGATTAATTTTACTCTTAACATCTCAAACACTTAGACCATAAGAAGGTTGAAGCAAGTTTTGTATTGAATGTAGTTTTTGGTTCTTTAGGTAGATAATTAATATCTGGATAAATTTTAGTTTCTAGGGATTGTATTGTTGGGAGTTCCATCTGAGCTGCATGAATTTGTTCTTGGAAGATGAAACTTTGGAAGGTATTCTTCCTATTATTTTTTATTTACCTCTCTTTTTATTCTTGACAAAGGGTACATAAATGGTATTACCTCATCAAATGCCTCAAATATTTCGATACTTGGTTGGTGAATAGTGCACACAACTATTCGACTGTGCCTGCCACGTTCTTCACTGCACGCATGACAATAGCAGCGGCCCTTGCATCCAAGCTTGATGTTGGCTCATCCATGAATATGATTGAAGGATTGGATACAAGCTCAACAGCAATTGTGAGACGCTTCCGTTGCTCTGTAGATAATCCATTTATCCCTGGTATTCCAACCAAAGCATCTCTTATTTTGTCCAACTCAATTGTTTCAAGAACTTGATCGACAAATTCCTACAAGAGAAAATAATAGTAGTTACCTTGCAGTTCTTTGTAATTTTTCTTGTACCTAAGGTACAATTATTATGAAATACAATACCCTTTTTATCTATGACATATCATCAATTATAACTCACATCTCGTGTTTTGGAGTCGATTTCTGTTGGAAGGCGCAACCAGGCTGAATATGCAACCGACTCTCCCACTGTGATTTGTGGGGAGTGAATATCAGTTTGTTCACAGTAACCTGATATCCTAGCAAAAGTTTGCTGAACTTTTGGATAACCTCCTACTCTTATATCTCCTTCAATGACACCACCAGTTTTCCTCCCAGCAAGAACATCAAGCAAGGTTGTTTTCCCTGCCCCAGTAACCCCCATGAGTGCTGAAAGGACTCCTGGTTGGAAGGCTCCTGTGATGTTGTGGAGTAGTTGAAGTTTTCTCTCCATGTGACCTTGCTCCCTCATTTCCTGTGATAATAGACATTTTTATTGGTCAACAAATGTTCCTAATTCCTTTTTTGCTAGTAGGTTTCATTTTTTTCTCTTTGTTTACTTCACTGAGAAGCACAAATGTCTGCCATGCCCATGTGATGGTCTATCAAGCATGGCTTTCTTTGACTAGAATAACTATATCTTGACTTTTAAGAGTATGGTAATTACCACAGGTGTGTCCACATAGTAGTTCACATCCTGAAATGATATCGCAAGGGGCACGGAAGGCAATACCACCCTTCCTGCAAATTTGATTATTGAAAGTGAGTTCCATTTCACTAACAATCTGAATTGTATTTGGTTCCACACTGTAGAATTAAGACTAACCAATCCTAGGTGTAGAAGAATTTTCTTCTGGCTTATGTATCCCATCTTTAGTGCCCATAGACGTACTCTGGTCTCTTCTACTAAATTTGGTAAGCTTATCATGAGAAATAATAGCTTTAGAAGTTCCTGGAGCTGAGAATGAGGTACATGGGAGGTTAGAGAAATTTATGCTCTGTATGTTTGAAGTATTCATCATATGCTTTCATAAACTTTACAATTCAATCATATTTGAGAATTATAAGTTGGCAAAGAATTCAAAGAAAATTTCAACAATAATGCACTTACACTTTTTAATAGTCAACCCAATAGCAAAACCTATATTGAATAACAAAATAAACCCGATCAATGCTCCAATTGAAATCCAGTAGAAGTAGCTAGAGAAGTTCAACCCTCTGTCTATTAATATCCTCCTTCCAAGTGACACACCAGATACTGTGAACTATCAACAATGAAAAAAAGTTAGTACTATGTCAGTGATGAAAAAAAGTTAGTACTATGTCAGTGATGAACAATTGAAATCCAGTAGAAGTAGCTAGAGAAGCCAATACTAGGATATCCTTGCTTGTATAACTCATTTATTACATGGTTTCAAACTAGTTGATCCTCAATCACACAGCTTTGCCTAAACCCTAGCCATTGCCGCCATCTCCATGGCCGGCAACCCTCCTAACACTGTGTCTTCGCACTCCCCTACTGTGGAAGTGTAGACTGATTTGAGATAGGCAAGGATCTCTATGATTGGTTATAATTCTATAAGCCAACCCTAGGATATCTTTCCTATATAAACATGTACCATGTAATCCCATAATCAATCTACTAATTCCGCATGTATACCTTACTTACAAGTTCTGCTAACAAGGTAGTAAACTGAATTAAAAAAACTACAGATATTGCATAAGAAAATACGTCATGCTTCTAAAGATCAAGGGAGATGATTTTATTATGGAGTGCACAATTATCAATACATATATTAATGTCAAAGTTTACCTTTAGCCATCTTGGTGCTAAGAACTCAGTTTCAGTTAACCCTATCTCAGCGTACGATAATGGAGAAAGCCAAAATCCCATTTTAGCCAATTAGGCATGGATGCTATAGAAGTTTGACACAAAAATGTGTTAGCAATTTGTGTTTAAATAATCAAAGGCCAATATCTTGCTTGAATTATGAATTCATGAAAGCATAGGAATGTCTTACGATGAGGAATGATGAAACCCCCAAATAGAAGGATGAGTAGAAGTAACATTGTACCACCCATTGTACTACCTACCATTGTTTGGCAGTAAGAGGCGACACATCTATACATTGATAACGCTCCAGTGTGGATTAGGAAGAGGACAAGAAGGTGACATAAGAACCTGCACATACAAATGGTGTGTTAGAACATCTAAAGCTATAAATTAATCTATTCTGTTTTAGCAATAGCAGTAACTGAATCTTAGAAACCTAGAGCTAGATAAGGCCTAAGGGGAACTTATATATATAATTGACCTCAACAGATGAGGTCACTAAAAAATTAGTTAAAGAATCTACTACCCACACATCTTTTGGCTAGACTACTAGAGAAAATGCGCATATACATGAGATGCGTGGTTTACCACTTTATTAGAAAAGCCTATGCACATAAAATGCGCTGACACACACAAGCATTATTACCAAAGTTGACAACAGAAATGTGATGCGATTAAATTAGTCATAACAAAATTGTAATTCCTACCTGGATGCCTCAGGAGCATAGCCAATGAGGAAGTAAGATAGTGATGTCCAAGCTATTGACACAACTAAAGAGACAGGAACCTTTAGGATAAAAGCTGGTACTGCATAAGCCCATGCAGGATAGAAGTAGTAATCCCTTTGTTTGTAGAAGACTGAAAGTCTGTTAACTGCCATGGAAATCTCAGGGAATCCATTCACCATTAGCATGAGGAGTGCATAGAAGAGTGAACCCATGTAATAGTTGGCACCAACTCTATCAATACCCATATGTGTGCGCAAAAATACCGTCCCAGTAATAGTAGCAATTACTGCAAGCTGCAGTAATAGTGCACTATTAATTGCTAGTGGTCACACTAAGACAAATGTAAAATTGTTTCTTAGTTCATGTCAACTGTAAGACATACTTTTCACGTAACAACCACTACTGGAAATTCGAATTGTTCTGTGGGTGACGAATTTTTCTGTGTGTTTTTTAGGTACGCACAGAAAAATTACGATTACTCAGTCGGTTCCAAAATATCCCGATAGAAAAATGCAAAAACCAACAGAATAATTAAATAATTTTTCTGTGTGTGACAATACACACATGGAAAAAATCAGCACTCACAGAAAAAATGCAACTTATTCTGTCGGTTCTTTAAAAACGCACAGAAAAAATACATGCACGCACAAGAAAATCCTACTTGATAAACCAGCCCCTGCGCTGCTCCGAGCACCCCGCCCTTCTCTTCCCCAACGCCCCTCCTCTCCCTTCTTCCCATGGACGCCCGCCCCCCTCTTCTCCCCCATGGCCCCCTCCCCTTCTTCTTCCTCCTGCCGGCCTCCCTCCCTCCCTTCTTCTCCCCACTTGGGTGCCCTCCCTCCCCCCTTCTTCACCCGGCTAGATCCCGCCTCCCTCTCCCGGATCCGGCCGGTGGCTGCGGTGGTGGTGGTGGTGACCGGCGGCGGCCCTCCCCTCCCCCTTCCGCTCTGATATTTTGATCATGTCTGTGGTTGAGGTTTATTAGAGTTGTATAAGATGAATTTTAATGGGAGAAGTGATGATATCATAACATAGGAGATATCTGCTTTCATTGTGATGATCACATCATGCACTACCATCTGATCTCTCTTTAACATTTCAACATTTCATTTTTACTGTAAACTTTTGCCAGTTTTATAGTATCTTGTAAGTCAGCAGTAGTTCTCTAA